ACTAGAACCACTTAATTCTGACTTAATGTCACATCACTCCATATTCCCCCCTTTAGTGGTGTACTAAGAGCTAAAGCCTCGAGGATCTACCTATAGATGTTTTACCTCTTCATCTTTGGCGTCGTTTCTCAACATCAATGATCCTTACTCGCCTTACGACAACCCTTCTGTACCAAGGATGACAAATTCCCTTACTCGCGAGGGTGACACTTAATGTAACTGGTACATACAGTCCCTTAAGCTTAACTTTGCTAACATTTTTTCCTTTAGGGAAGCGTCTTCCTAAATGATCATTCTCTGAATTTCTCATGAATATTCTTCTGTTGTCCGTCCTATTATTGTCGGACGTGATCTGCAATTCTCATGATACTAACTATTATCAAATCACTCAGTCCCTAATTCATATTTAGTTTATATTATTCACCAATCCATAATGGTTCTATTATTCTGGGGTCTAACTTTTCCTCTTGGTAATCGCGCTAGAGTTACGAACTTATTTCTAGAAATGAGGACATGACTGTATGGCTTATACTCTTTTGTTGTCCTAAGGCTTGTCACCTTTCATCTATTTCTTCACATGACTATAGATTTTGTAATATTGTCATCTTTTGATCTACTGATATCATCTATGTACCACATCTTACTCATAATGCTTCATTAACTTTTTTCTTATTTCCCGTTAACATTTATGCCTATCACTTTATTATGAAAACTTGAACAAGACATTCTTTTGCTTTTAGCTTCCCTTTGCTCCATCCAATGGCTCTTCAAGTTTCTTAACGCTCTCGCTTTACTAGGGACATGAGCCGCACTAAGGTAATATTTATCCCTTCGAGGCTTATAGTGCATGTCTTTGTAGTACTCATATCTGGCTGCACTATTTTAGAGTGCACTATCTGGGTGTCTCATAAAAAGATTTATTAGAACATTTGCAATATCCTTTGGAAATGTCAACTAACACAAACAATTCATCTATCATATCTTCTTATACTACTTCTGTTAACCCCCATAGGGCATATCTGGAATGGGTGCGACCAATTATATATACCTTGTTACTATTGAATATAACTCAAAAAGCTTATGTTCTTCTACCTCAATTATAAACGTTGTTAACCTTCATTAACTGGGTATCTCATACCCTTTTTACCTTGCTCCTTTTACTTGCTAAAACTTGTACTTATCTTCTTAATTTCTTATTATCCTTCACTATAAAGATGGATAGGCATTCTTGCCTTAAGGCTTCTTATCAGGAAGCTTACACCCTTCAGTACACCCATGGTCTGCTAAAGACCTCACATTTACTTATCGTAGGCATCATACAAAAATACAATTCCTCTAACTCAGCTCATCCCAACTATCTCTCTTTCCAACCTTCATTCCGGATGTAGGTATCCTCTTATTACGAGAAAAAAAATTCGGAATTTGAATTATTATAAGTGAGCTCTACCACACGATCTAAAGTAAGAAGAAAGAATGACAATCCTAAATACCTTGTAGCCTCCTACTTATAAGTGTGGTGCATGACACACCCATAAACAAGACTCTACTAGACACGGCTTGTAGACTCCCTAGGATAGAACTGCTCTAATACTACTTTTGTCACCCCCCGAACCTGGGAGGCGAGATCGGCACCCAGTGCCTCACCTATTCTTGCATACCAACTTACAACTAAGGGACTCTGAACATATGATGTCATACTTTGGCCATGGGCCACATTGCAAGATAACTACGAATGCTTAGTAAATGTCAATATAAAACTGGGCCGACAAGGCCGTCATAACTATTACATCTGACAAACCAACCAAATATACATACAAGGCCTGCAAGCCCAACATATTGCATTAACTAAAAGCATATGTCTACAAGCCTCTACTGATGGATATACTATGATCGAAACAGCTCCCCGACCTATTCATAACATATATACATATATATACAAGATGTACATAAGGTTCTAGACTCGGAAACTCCGAAAGGCATGGAGCTTGCTGATCAAGCTGAACTCGGGCAACACTTATTGAAGAGGCCTACCCGTCTATCTGTCTAACCTGTACGCATGAAATGCAGCGCCCCAGAAAAAGGGACGTCAGTACGAAATAATGTACTGAATATGTAAGGCAATATACTGAAACTGAACTGATAATATAATAACTGCCAGTAGCTGGAAGTCAAAGATAATCTGAAGATATGCTTACCTACAGACACTGACTTAACTCTCTCAATATAGTAAGTAAAATAGTTGTCCGGCCACAGTAGGCTCGGTATATATATAACTGTTGTGCCGCAGTAGGCTGGCTCATAGGCGTTTGGCCATACTAGGCTCTGTATCTCGACCAACTGGGCTCGCTCATAACCGCTCGGCCATAGTAGGCTCAATATATAACTTACCATCTGATCAGAGGTTGCCCAATTGGGGCCTGCCCATCGATTATAGCTCGATGGTAATGAAAATACTTTTAATACTATATATATGTAAATTTTCTGCTCCCTTGACTGGGAGAAGAAAATACTCAACTGAATATGAATTTTCCATAAGGAGAATATTATAACTTACGGAACTAGAAAAATATACATAATTTGCGAGACTAGTAAAATATACGTAAATTCCAGGATATGAATTTTTCTTTATGGCTCATAAACAAAATAGTGTAATGACAAGATCGTGCAAAATGAAAAAAGAGCTTAGCCTTAGCATATCCGGAGTAGGGACAATCCGTACGATATCCTTGAAAAAAGTTACACCATGCTTCGTTAGAACCGCAAAATTCCTCGATTGCTAAAATTCTAGAAATTCTCGTGGGTTCGTTGAAATTACAGAAACCATGTTGTTGCCTTCTTCAATTCTTAAAAAGTCACGTTCTTCCATGGTGTTTGAATGATTGGAAAATGCTTTTTCAAAGTTTTGGTTGAAAGTTTGAGAAATGGTTTTAAAGGTTTGAAATATAACTATTGTTCTTAGCTTTTGAAGAATGAGTTTGAAAGTTTGAAGGATAATTCACGTTCTTGGTTTAAAAACCAAAGACACAAATGTTTTGATAATGCTTACAAAAGCCTTTCTTGATAAAACTTATAATTTAGCCTTTTGAAACCTTTAAGACACATGTAAAGGTGAACAATGAGTCACCTTAAACAGGGGGGGCTGCCACGTTCTCTTGGGGATGATTTGTTAATTTTTATCCAGTTATTAGTTAACCGGGTAATGTTTCGTTATCCGATAATTAATCCATTACCTGCATAATTTAAAAATTACTACAAATTACTTAAAATTCTATTTATTTTCAAAATACTTCATATATACTTTATATATTATACTATCGTAGTCATATGGTACCTTACATGGTACTAGTTTATAATTATCGGGTATTATTACTTGATCCGTATTTTATCCCAAATTGCCAAACTTCGACAAATTCGTTTTCTTCGATATTACTTACCCTCTTAACTTCACGAATTTACTCATCACTTATAATCCTTATAATCCCCATATAATCTTTTCCTTGGACTGATGTGAATTATCTTACGACAAATTCAACGTACAATACTGCAGGGTGCAACATCGCCGTAACTTATTACTGCGAAGCGTAACATCACCGTAATATAATACTGCAGGGTGCAACATTGTCGTAACTTAATATTGTAAAGCATGATATCACCATAATATAATACTGCAAGGCATAACATCATCGTAATATATTACTGCAGGACGTAACATCATCGTAATATATTGCTGCAGAGGGTAACATCATCGTAATATATTACTGCAGGACGTAACATCATCGTAATATATTGCTGCAGAGGGTAACATCATCGTAATATATTACTGCAGATCATATATCATCGTAATACTGCGGGGCATAATATAATCTCTCCGATAGTCAGGTCACCTTGAGAGTAATCTCTCCGATAGTCGGGCCACATTGAGAGTAATCTTTTCGATAGTCGGGCCAGTTTGAGAGTAATCTCTCCGATAGTCGGGTCATCTTGAGAGTAATCTCTCCCGATAATCAGGTCGTCTCGAGAGTAATCTCTCCGATAGTCGGGACACATTGAGAGTAATCTTTCTGATAGTCGGGTCACCTTGAGAGTAATCTCTCTGATAGTCGGGCTACCTTGAGAGTAATCTCTCCTATATTCTGACGAAAATAAGTATCCCATGGATCACCTTGTTAAACAAGAACATATCCCACTACTCTTGACCTACAAAAAAAACCAAAAATAAAAAGGAACAAGCAAAGAAAATGCAAAAGGGAAGAAAAATAAGTTATCTTGGCATTGTACTTCTAGTGACTTGCAAACTCTGTAAATTGGTGTACAACGAAGGAAGAGCATATAGCCTTATATAGTTGATTAAAACCTACATTGAAAGGTTAGTTTCGATGTGGGATTAGGTGCAAAGGCGGCGGTAATAAGTTGTTGTCAACATGGACTCAAATTGTAGTCTTCAATATCAAATATTCATAGTTTCTCTCCTAAAGAGATTTGGATAGTTGTGAGGCAGTGATACAGATGGTTTGAAATTGAGCTACGTGGCAAGCTTATCTCAAGGCCGATTGACTTGCAAATTCTATAGGCTGAGCTGAATTCCAATTGCTTTACATGTATTGGAGGTCTACTATACATATGACAATAATGGTTCTCAATTAAAAGAGAGTTTTCTTTGGCAAAGTCAAAATAGAATGTCAGCAAGCAATTACAACCTTACGTGACCCGAAGATTGGAAACTTTGGTGTTTCAAGTATTTGTACGATAATTTTGCTCGAGTTTTACGTAAAAAAGAGAAGGAATGATGCTTCAATATTACTTCAATCCTTTTCTTCAATATTCATCAAAACATATATTTTGTCAAGTCTTGAAATAGGGGTATTTGTAGGCATATAAATTTTATTGAAATTAAATTCGTAAAATAATTGGGATTATATTTTAAATTCAAGATATATTAGTTCAAATAAATTTATGGGCTAATATAATCCCCAAAATTCTGGGAGGATTTGGACGAGATGATGCGTAGTATCCCGCACATAGAGAAGTTGTTCATTGGCGGAGATTTCAATGGTCAAATTGGGGCTAGTGCTAGGGGTTATGATGATGTGCATGGCAGGTACGACTTTGGGGATATGAATGAGGGAGGTAATTCACTGTTGGATTTTTCTAGAACTTTTGATTAGGTTATAGCTAACTCGAGTTTTCCGAAGAGGGAAGAACACCTGGTCACTTTCCAAAATTCAATGGGCAAGACTCAGATTGATTATCTTCTCTACAAGAAATGCGATAAAGGTCTGTGCACTGACTGCAAGGTCATCCCAAGTGAGCACCTCACGACTCTACATAGGCTCCTTGGTATGGACCTGGGGATCAAGAGGAGTAGGAGGAAGAGGGCGGGGTACAGGCAACCTAAGATCAAGTGGGGTAACTTGACCAAGGACAAAGCTCAGGAGTTAGGGGAGACGTTGTTGGCTATGAGGGCCTGGATGAGTATGGGGGACGCGTCTAGTATGTGGTTCAGGACTGCGGATTGCATTAGGGTAGCTGTTAGAGAGGTCTTAGGGGTCACGAAGGGCTCTCCTAGGGGTCATAAAGGGGACTGGTGGTGGAATGGAGAGGTTCAAGGTAAAGTGAAAGCTAAGAAAGCTGTATATTTGAAGCTAGTAGAGAGTACAAACAAGGAGGAAAAAAGGACTTATCGAGAGTGTTACAGAAAGGCAAAGAAAGACGCAAAGTTAGCAGTTATGACGGCTAAGAACACGGTGTTTGCTCGTTTGTACGAGGATCTCGAGGGCAAAGGCGGGGACAAGAGGTTGTACCGGTTGGCCAAGGTGAGGGAGAGGAAACTGGGTTGACTTAGACCAAATCAAGTGCATCAAGGACGAGGATGGCAAAGTGTTGATGGTTGAGGCACTCATTAGGGGAGATGGCAGACATACTTCTATAAACTGTTGAATGAGGACAGGGATAGACGCATTGTGCTGGGTGATTTGGAGCACTCCGAGAGTCGGCAGAATTTTGGGTACTACAGGCGGATTACGGTAGAGGAGGTGGAAGGGGCGATGCGTAAGATGTGTAGGGGCAGAGTGATGGGGCCAGACGAAATCCCGATGGAATTATGGAAGAGCTCGAGGCAGGTAGGTTTGGAGTGCCTCACTAGGTTGTTTAATTTTATTTTAAGATAAAAAAGATGCCCGAAGAATGGAGGTGGAGTACGATGGTTCTACTTTACAAGAACAAGAGTGATATCCAAAATTGCAATAATTATAGGGGTATCAAGTTATTAAGTCACACTATGAAGGTTTGGGAGAGGGTGGTAGAGGCCAGGGTAAGGAGGTATGTGTCTATTTCCGAGAATCAGTTTGGATTCATGCCGGGGTGTTCGACTATGGAAGCAATTCATCTGGTAAGGAGATTAGTGGAGCAGTACAGGGAGAGGAAGAAGGATTTGCATATGGTGTTTATTGACCTTGAGAAGGCATACGATAAAGTTTCGAGGAATGTCCTGTAGAGGTGATTGGAAGTTAGTGGTGTTCCGATAGCGTACATTAGGGTGATTAAAGATATGTATGATGATGCTAAGACTCAGCTGAGGACTGTGGGTGGTGACTCGGAGCATTTCCCTGTGATGATGGGGTTGCACCAGGGATTGGCTCTTAGCCCATTTTTATTTACCTTGGTGATGGATGTATTGTCACGTCACATCCAAAGGGAGGTGCCTTGGTGCATACTATTTGCCGATGATATAGTATTGATTGACGAGATGCGTAGCGGAGTTAACGCGAGGTTGGAGGTTTAGAGATAGACCTTGGATTTTAAAGGTTTCAAACTATGTAGAACCAAGACAGAATACTTGGAGTGCAAATTTAGTAACGTGACCCATGATGAAAACGTAGAGGTTAAGCTTGATGCTCAAGTTATCCCCAAGAGAGCGAGTTTTAAGTATATCAAATCTATTATCCAGGGTAACGGGGAGATTGATGAAGATGTCACACATCGCATCGGAGCGGGATGGATGAAATAGAGGCTCGCTTCTGGTATTTTTTGTGATAGGAATGTGTCGCTAAGACTTAAGGGTCAGTTTTTGAGTAGTGGTTCGACCGGCTATGTTGTATGGGGTTGAGTGTTGGCCAGTCAAGAACTCCCACGTGCAGGAGATGAGAGTAGCAGAGATGAGGATGTTGAGATGGATATGTGGGTGTACCAGGAGATATAGGATTAAGAATGAAGCTATCCGGGACAGAGTGGGAGTAGCCTTCGTGGAGGACAAGATGCAGGAGTCAATACTGAGATGGTTAGGACATGTTAAGAGAAGAAGTACTGATGCTCCTGTCACGAGGTGTGAGAGGTTGACCATGGAGAGTTTAAGAAGAGGCCGAGGTAGGCCTAAGAAGTACTGGGGAGAGGTGATTAGGTAGGGCATGGCGCTACTTCAGCTCACTAAGGACATGACCCTGGATAGGATGGTGTGAAGGTTGAGGATTAAGGTAGAAGGTTAGTAGGTAGTTTATAGTTGTTAATTTGTAGTCTTAGTAGCATGCATGTCCCTTCATATTCTTAGATTTTTATTATGTTATATGGTTTTGTTCGCCTCAGGTATTGTATTCCCTGTTGCTATTATTTGGTACTACTTATCCTTTATCTCTCCCTTTTCTTTTCTCTTCCATCTTTCTTCCTTCCTTGCTTTCCTCTTCTTTTTTTTGCCCTTCCTGAGCCGAGGGTCTATTGGAAACAGCCTCTCTACATGCATTAGGTAGGGGTAAGGTCTGCGTACAGACTACTCTCCCCAGACCCCACCTGTTGGGATCAAACTGAGTTTTTTATTATTGTTGTATATAAGTCCAATATATATGGATTAAATAAATAAGTCTTAATCCATTGGGCTAGTTCATTTAGGTGGGCTACAAATAATGAGCCCACTTTATTAGGCCCAATATGCCATCTTTCTAGAGGCCTAGTTTGGTGCCACTTGTCAAATTAATGACGTGGCATACCAAGTCAAATGGAAGAGTCAATAGGATCATGCCACGTGTCAAAATGGCAAGACATGCCAAGTCACATTAAAAGGCCAATAAAACTGCGTCACGTGTGCAAATGACATGTTCCGTCCAAACAAATGTGGCCTTGTCACACTTCAATTTGATTGGTCGGAAAGAGTTTGTTCTTATCATAACTCTTTCCTTCCACAACTATAAATAGGGGTCTTCGTAACTCAGAAAAGACACTAGAAGTTAATAACAAGAAGCAAGAAAGAATTCGTGGATCAAACGCTGCAAATTCCTCCACAAGTTTCAAGCTTCAAGCAATCAAGTTCATGAATTAAGTTTAAGCTCAAGAATAAAGAGCAATCAAGATTCAAGGAGTACGAGTTCAAATCAAAGTTCATGCTAGTTGAATTTAAAATCATCGTTCGTGACAACAAATATAAATTCAAGATCAAGCTCAAAGGCTTTGAAAAGAAGAATCAGAGGATTCATAGATATTATACACTCATATTATTTAAAATCAAATACTACGATTGTCGCAATATTTTTCAGTCTCGATTTTTTTTTCTCGACGCAATTTATTGTCTACGGTTATCCCAAGCTCTTAACTCATCCCATAATTGTCTTCTTAGTTGAGTAGTACATTTAGCATACACAATCATTGTGTGCAGAGGGACGGGGCTGCCTGGCATCGAAACTTGGTATGTAATTTTTGTTCGGAGACCTCCAAGACCTGTATAGTTAAGTCAGAGGACCAAAAGATCTATATCTTATTATTACAGTTAAAGAAACTATTTTGTAGACCAAGTTGTAATTGGTATTCACAATCTTGGAGGAGTTGACCATTGGATCTTGCACAATGAATGGTAGTTTGTGTTGAATTTGAAGAGATTTTATCCTTTCAAAGGCCTCTTGGGACTCCATGCCCCTAATGTTCCATGATACAATGTTAATCATTGGAAACTATTTGAGGTTGAGGCTTTCTCCTCCTTTTTGTTATCTCTTGTATCATTTGTTGACTGTTATTTTCTGTCCCCCCATGGAGTTATGTTGACCCCTTGGCGAGAGATTGTTCAATTATGTTATTTTGTCCTTAACATCACCTCCTAGACCATTGTCCTCCCCTAAGTCTAGTGCCCTATGAGGTCTCCTAGCATTTTCATCGTCTGATTTTGTGATCTCCTCTTCATTCTACATTAACTCCACGTTTGTGTCTTGTTTATCCTGGACTCTTTCTGTAAAGTGGCTGCCACTGTTTTGTCTCCAGCGAGGTGTGGAAAATCTGGGGTCTTGGGTTGAGGATTTCCGTGGCATTAATTCCTGCACATCAATTGCAAATGCAGTACTAAGACCATGTTCACCTTTCTCCCATCTCACCTCTATAGAAGGACTGATATTGTGAAAAAAGGGAAATGACATTTTTAGTTCCTGTATTATTGCATTATTCTAATTTTAGTTAGGTTAAGCACATTTGACCTTTAATTTTAGTCCAAAAAGTAACGGACGCTTAAATTACAGAGGGATAAATTTGGGTATTTATTTTTAATGCAAACACTTAACAAGAAAGAAGAAGAACCCGATTTTAACATTTTAATCATACCCTCTCTGCTCTCATTGCCTCCTCAACCTGCATTTTCTCTCTTTGACAATCTTTTTTTTGGCAATCTCACTTAGAAAAATCAAATCCTTGTGATTGTTTTTTTTAGTTTCTTCTCTGTTCAACTTTTCTCTATTTACTCCTTTTTATGAAAATTCAATTATAAATGGCGAAGATTTCATGGATTTGTTAATGATCTCCTCTTTATCTTCAAGAGGGGGAATCCTTTTTTTCCCCTCAAATTAAGGCATCACCAAAGGCTTGGCGCCATTAGTGTTGGGGATTTAGGTGACCCTTGTTGAAGTTTGGCAAATTTGTCCCACATCGGTGGGCTCTTGAATTTTGGGGGGATTTTCCCCCTATAAAAGAAGGCCTAATGTTTAGGATTTAAACACACCTCTCATTTGCCTTCCCATCTGTTTAAGGCATTTGTATCTTCTCTCTTTAGTATTATTTCACTTGTATTTTTGGAGTGGAATAAAATATTTGGTTGTGTCCGAGGAGTAGGCAAAATTAGCCGAACCTCGTAAATTCTGGTGTTCCCTTTATTGTTGCTTTATTGTCTTATTTATTATTTGGTGGCTGTCATAATTTTTGGTATAGTAGTTGTGACTTATTCACACTCTATACATGTATCTTCCGCAACAATTGGTATCAGAGCCAAGGTACTGTCTAAGTATGCTCTGTGGTTGCAGCATAGTCTGATCTTCCACATCAGAAAAGATTTATCTTGGTAACTGAGTCAAGGTTCTGTCTGAGTATGCTCTGTAGTTGCAGCTTAGTCTGATCTTCTACATCAGAAAGAAAATAATCTTTATTTGTGTCGTCAGCTATTAAATAATATTTGTGTCACATATGGGAGACAATAAACAAGAAAAATCTACATCAAGTGTCAACAACACGTCATCATTGGCATCTTCGCTTATGACAAGAATTGTGTCNTTACCATTTCTATTTCAATGCAACAAAAATTATAAATGAGGAGGGGGCATGGACCTAAACCTCCGAAAGGAACAAGACTAATAAATCAATCTTCAAAAAAGTTTAGAAGAGAGAAGCCAATACAACTCTTCCTTTTCTAGCTATATACTCAACTTACAAAGAAATTATATTTGTCGTATCTTCTTTTAATACTAGGAAATTGTCATTTGTCTAGTTGAAAGTATCCCTTCATCTCTTTCAGAAGTTGTTTAAAAGAGTAATAGGAGGTATCATTTTCATTAGACGAGACTAGTTTGACTAAGAAATTCGCCATTTGATTGGCTTCTCTAAAGTAGTGTTTGAAGTGTACCTCTGTCCCATTGATTGTTGAGATGATGTCTCTAATTATCTTCCAGAGTTCGAAGTTGTTAGTGTCTTCGTTATTCAATATGTCAGTCACAATCATAGAGTCTGATTCCAAATTGAAGGCATTTATTCCATTTTAGAAGAACTAGTCCATCCCATATTTGGTTGTCTGTGCCTCAACTCGGTTATTGCTGGTGCATTGATTGGAATTAAGGAGGCCATTATTAAATCACCCGCCTCATTTATAATTAATTACCCCTCTAATGCATGTTCTTGAGTTGTTCCCAAGAAAGCTTCCATCTGTGTTAACTTTGCACCTTCCTGTCGAAGGTTTACTCTAGCTCACATGTCTCAGTATTACTACTGGTTTAAGCTGTTCAATAGTCTGGTATTGTTGAGCCCCTATCAGTTGTATTTAACTTTGAGAATGCTATAGAGATAGATGTTTACTTCTTCTTTTTTATCTAACAAATAACGTAGTTATTATCATTGTTTTGGCGTGGACTTGCAACCCTGCCCCACCACCCCAATCTATGTTATTTTTGTTTGATTTTTAACAAATTAGAAGGCACCCATTTAGAGAAATATGATCAAACCGGCAAGGAAAGCGGCTCTTCTCTGCGTGCATGGACCTGAGATATC